ATTTTAAACATCAAAATAGTACCTCGAGATGGGAGATGATAAGGCCATGGTTGCAGGAGCAAATAGTCAGGATGATCCTAGCAATACCCGTCCCAGAAGCTGAATTGGGTCCCGACAAACCAATTTGGAAATGGACCAAAACCGGAAAATTTACTACTGCCTCAGCATACAACACAGTAGCAGGAGCAAATTGAGAAACAAAGGACAACAAATGGAGCCATATCTGGAGCTGGGACAGCTCGGAACGAATTCGGGTATTCCTTTGGTCTCTGGCAAGAAGATCAACCTCACAAACGTTGAGAGGATGCAAAGACACATCTCCGATTCAGATGCTTGCTACTTCTGTGGCAAATCGGAATCTCTTTTCCATTTGTTTCGCGATTGCCCGAGAATATAACAAGCATGGAGATTGATCAAGCCAAATATCCAACCTGATTTCTGGTATGTTAATGATTGGGATCTCTGGCTTATGTCTAACTTAACCTCTCTGTCAACGCAGGAAAACCAACGCTGGTCCACCGTATTCGCAGTCGCATGCTCAAAAATCTAGAGCACAAGGAATCGCTGAATCTTTGATGATCATTATACCAACATATGGGAGCCAACAATCACGATACAGACAGCAACAGCGGAGATTACAAGATCTATCTGTGGCAAGAAAATAAAATTACCTCTGCAAAAATCACCCATAGAAGGAAGCCACCCTTGGAAACCACCCCCGGCGGATTGGATTCGCCTAAATGTTGACGGTGCAGTAGCAGCGGCGTCTTCGACGGCAGCAGCAAGCGGCCTACTCCAGAACGAAGAAGGAAGATGGATCATGGGTTTTGTTGCAAAGTTAGGAGACTACCCAATTTTGGAAGCTGAACTCTATGCTGCTTACCTTGGGCTTCGACTGGCTTGGACACTAGGCCTCAAAAAGGTCCAAATTCGGCTTGACTCATTCCAAGCTGTCAATTTTATCAATGAACATAGTAATAGCCTAACTCCTAGTAATATTTTGCATAGAATCCGAAACCTTTTGAATTTGCAATGGGTTGTAGAAACCACCCACATTAGACGTGATGGCAACGAATCTGCTAATTCTCTAGCCAAAATAGGATTATCCGCAGCACCGGGATTATTGGCAAACCCCCCAGAATCTACTGTAGAGAAAATGGCCATCGATTGACCTAACTCAACTCTCCACCGGTGAGTTTTATTTTGTATTTTAAGCCTTTTGGCTTCCTCGGTTTATGAAAAAAAAAAGTTTTACTCCACAGTTTGATTCTTTTCATCAAAAAAAATAAAATAACCATCATAAAGGCAAAAATAAGTGATATTTTTGTTCCATGGTTGAAGAACAATTAATTAACCATAATACATAATATATTCAATTAAAATCTCGTACTTTTTTATCTCAAAATAATTATTCAATGTAAACTTTAGTTTTATTATAAACTATCGTGTGGGATTTATATATACATATATATATATACTATTAAAATACTTTAAAAAAAAATTGTGAAATTAGAGTGATGTAATAGAATCATATGAATATTAATTATACATAAATAGTTTTAAAAAAAAAGTAAACATTGAATTGTACTTGTATAATATAATATTATGCATTAAAATATCATTGAAAATTTTCATGAGAAAATGTAATAGTACAATAATTATGAATATTAATCGAGTAAAGAAGAGATAATACAATAATTACAAGAAAAGATAATAATGATTTGCATGCTGAAATGTTGAGGGAAATCACTCTTCCGCGTCATTTTCACCACCGATGTTTAACTACCTTCGTTCTGGACTTCATATTAGGGTAAAAGTTCTTACAATTCGGCATCATATCGGACTAAAACGTAACCAATAGCATAAAGGAAACACAAACTTTCATTCATCTTAGTATACCTTCAACATATTTGTTTTATTTATTTTTCCTCACATGTGCATAGTTGCATTGAAAAAAAAATAAAAAATGAAAAATGAAAAAAGATACAAATAAAGATGGAAAAAAATACTTTTCTTCTGGAGGTTGACATTAATCGAAGAGCTTGAGGTTGTTTGTATCGATGAAGGAAAGAAATGGGAGTTTTTGATATTGTGCATGCGGATTATGGTTTTCGGTTAATATATATATATAATATTTTTATAGAGTGATTTCCCACTATTGATGATTAATGGCTGGTATATCAATTTTAGAGGATCAGTTCTACCAAGATTTCACAATTAAAGAATCACTTTCAATTTTGTATTAATTATTTTCCAATTTTAAAAAAGCATTAATATTGTTTAATGATCAAACCAATATGTAATGACATTATTCAAGCCAATCGAAATTTTTTTTTCAAATCAATCAGTTTTAATGTTGAATTAAAGAATCATTGATGATTTGGTATTTATTATTTTCGAATTTTAAATAATTATTAATATTGTTTAATGATCAAATCAAGACGTAATGCCATTATTCAAGCCAATGCGATAATTTTTCTCAAATCAATCTTATTTAATGTTGAGATTTTAAAAAATTTTCGTTTTCTTTTTAATTTTAGGGAATGCAAAATAGAAAGTTTACTACACAATTAATTAGTAGACTTTAATTAAGAATTGATAATAATTTCTTAATTAGAAATCCAAAGGACTATTAGTGTAATTGTTGTAAATATTTTTTGTGTCAACCTATAAGAAAATGACACATAGGATTTTGTCCTATGTGTCAACGGGAGGAGAAGTTTGATTTCCTCTCTCTGGTTTCTCTTTTAGTATAATATATATATATATATATATATATTATATTCAAAGTTAAAGTCCGAACATCTAATAACATCATAAGATTATTGATCCTCTTTAAAATATATATATATATATACATATATATATATATATATATATAAAACATCATACGATTGTTTGTGTCTCACAAGCATTCTTATCTCATCATTAGTGAATCTTCCCATTGAATTGATCGATTTATTTGAGAAATGTCTAAATTTGCAAAATCTCTAAATGCGGTATATGCCATAATACAATATAGCACATGGGGGTGGGTTCCCATAATTAGCTAAGCGTGTCAATATATTTTTGTCAGGTACATATTTGGACAAACTATACTCCATAATTCGTGGACCAATTTTCTATGCTCCAACGCTATGTATACCGATATCATAAAAGCATGATCTAATTAACAGATTGAGGAGATTGAGATGATATGAAATTAAAATGTTACTAGATGTTTGGCCCAGGCAGATGCCCGGGCGCCCCTTCTAAATTACTATTTTATTAAAATCTAATTCAATTACTATTTTTTGAGGAATTAATTTGGCGTATATATCATTTATGCTATGATTTGGGGCTTAAAAAAATATACCTATAAATCTGAGGTTATAAGGGAATAATAAATAATTAGTTTATAAGGCATTATTCTTAATTGCTGGATTTAGGTATTTTTATTTTTTGTTTATATTAAGCCTGCAAAACTATACGATTGGACATTTGAATTTGAATTAATATATCCATTCGTTTGAAATGTAATTGATCCTTATTTGTAGTAAAACATGTGTTTTTTTTTAAAAAAAAAATTATATAACTTCTAATTAAAAGAGACTTACACGTGACAAAAAGACTCCTGAAATCTGAAATATGGTGCATTGGAGCCAAAACAGATACATACTTAGTTGCCACATAAGCTTCATGTCTTCTGCTTTAATAGGGTAAAAGGGATGTCACCTTCGAGTGTGTGAAAATAATTATACTGTTGTATTGATCAAACTCTTTTGCCCACGAGGTCGAGGAAGTATATCCTGGTTGATCGAATAAACCTGGGTATCAATTAAATTTTTTATAACACTTTTGTTATAAAATTTACTAGCCACTTGAGATTGATTTAAATACAACTAAAATAATTCAATTACCAAGTTCGAGACAACGTCAATCATTCATCTACAGCTTCAAAAACAAACTAAATTCCTACCCATAATTCAACGTGGCTTCAATTGTTTATAAACGATTGTTTATAAATCGTTTTTTACTATGCAAAATTTAAAACTCATTCTGTCTAACAAAAATAATCAAATTTATAAATTACTTTTAATTTAATAATTTGGACTATTTTTTAAGTCGGATATTATATTGATCAATACAATACGAAAAATTATGTATTTTTACAATTAATTATTATTTTCGACTCATTTACTATTTTAATACTCTTTTTGTCCTAAAAATAGTCCATGGTAGTGAAACGAAGGGAGTGATATTATTATATAGTAGCAAAAACGAATCGTTTTATAATGGTAGACTTCGTAGTACGATTTAGTTTTAGTATCTTTGTTACGTAAAAAAAACATAGAGGAATTGGTTTGAAGTTTCGAGATAATCGATGAACTATATATCCTTTCTCATGCTAAAATTTACTTGCAAATTGAACTATGTACCAAACATATTGATGCAAAACTAAAATATCATCCAATACTATGATTTCTTAAATAGGCAAAAAAATAAATTGAAATTGTTATTGAACCGTGGAACTAAAACTAATTTATAATTTCTCCTATATTAATCCATTCACTCACGACACGCCCCTAAAGCTTCAAAGATATTTTTGAAACTTCAGAATCCACAATTAAATGTGATATTTTTCTTGAATCAAATTTTTGAAAATAGAGTTTATGAGATTCATATGCAAGACAATGACAGAGAAACATTGACTTGCTAACTAAGCCTTAAATTATCGCGTTTCTAGTTAAATTGTACCGGTTACATGGCGTTGAGATTTGTCATTTTATTCTGCTCGAGTGATTCTTTTATAATGTGAAATAATTCATAACTTGCCGGTCAGATTCATCTCTATATAAACAAGTTTGACTTAATTAGTCCAAATATGACGACTAGTAGTACAAAAAGTATGGGTAGGATAGGACCATTATATATTCTTCCTCAAATTATTACAAAAAGAATCAAAATCAAACTGATAAGGCGTTGTGGTACGTATGAAACATATATGAATAGTTCATAACTAAAAATTAATAAGAGGAATTGATGTTTCCTACAACAAACAAAAGCTATATATTAAACTTTTAGCATAAAGATCAAATTCTTGCTAGCTAGAATTATTGAATACTATACGCAAACATATAATCCTATCCCTATCACAAAATGTGGACGAATTTCAGAGAATGGACAACTTGTAGTAAGGAGCACCACATCTCAGCTTCCCACGCCTCTTACTTTGATCTCTATATAAGCAGAACAAACTTTGTTTCAAAAAGATTGTCCCAAATTTTATATTTTTTTTTTACCCTGTTGATGTATAATGGCATTACCAATTCAAATCACTTTTTGTGTTTGGTTTCTCTCCATTTTCACTTCAAAATTTCTTCTATCTTTAGCACAATGGGACACTTACGTTATCCATATGGACTTATCATCCATGCCAAGAGCTTTTACAAGCCATCAGAATTGGTATTTGTCCACCCTTAACTCCATTTCAGATACTAAAACTACAGAAACCTCAGATTTTTCATCATTCTCCTCAAAGCTTGTTTATGCTTACAGTAATGCTATCCATGGTTTTAGTGCAGTTCTTTCTCCTTCCGAACTAGAAACCATAAGAAATCATCCCGGCTTTGTTCATGCAACTAAAGACAGGTCCGTCAGAAAGGACACAACACATTCATCCAAGTTCATTGGCCTCAACTCCAATTACGGCGTTTGGCCTAATTCAGGCTACGGGAAAGATGTCATTATTGGTTTAGTGGACACCGGAGTGTGGCCGGAGAGCAAAAGTTACAACGACGATGGAATAGCTGAAGTTCCTTCCAGATGGAAAGGAGAATGTGAAGCTGGTTTTCAATTCAATTCCTCCTTATGCAACAAGAAACTCATCGGAGCGCGCTACTTCAACAAAGGTTTACTTGCAAAATATCCCAATTTGACAATCTCAATGAATTCGACCCGCGATATAGATGGACATGGAACTCACACTTCATCCACTGCTGCCGGAAGTTCTGTTCAGGGAGCATCTTTCTTCGGTTACGCTTCGGGAACCGCGACCGGAATGGCTCCAAAAGCTCGAGTCGCAATGTATAAGGCTTTGTGGGAAGAAGGAGCTTACTTGTCTGACATTATAGCGGCAATTGATGCAGCAATTGGCGATGGAGTTGATGTGTTATCGTTATCATTGGGATTGGATGGAGTGCCATTGTATGAAGATCCTATTGCCATAGCAACATTTGCAGCTATGGAGAAAGGGATTTTTGTGTCAACATCAGCTGGAAATGAAGGGCCATTTTTTGGTACCCTGCATAATGGAATCCCTTGGGTTCTTACAGTTGCTGCTGGCACAATTGATCGCCAGTTCAATGGAATGATTAATCTTGGAAATGGGATCTCAATTACTGGATTAACTCTCTATCCTGGAAATGTTACTTCTGAGAAAATCCCAATTGTGTTCAACAATGCATGCAAAAGCATTGAAGAGTTGAAGAAACTTCAGGGGAAGATTGTTGTCTGTTTTGACAATAACCAAACATTGGGTGAACAAGTTTACAATTTGCAAAGCACAAAAGGAATTGCTGGTGGTGTCTTCATCACAAACAACACAGATTTGGAATTCTTTCTTCAATCTGAATTTCCAGCTATCTTTGTAGACCTTCAAAATGGTGCAAAACTCTTGGACTTCATCAAGGGAACCTCTCCTCCAAAAGCTAGTCTTAAATTCCGCGGAACTCAAATTGGAACAAAACCAGCACCAATGGTGGCTAGTTACAGCTCAAGGGGTCCATCTCAAAGCTGTCCAAATGTGTTGAAACCTGATCTACTGGCTCCCGGCGCACTCGTCTTGGCTTCGTGGCCTGATAAATCGCCGGTAACCTCTATAACTTCCGGCGATCTTTTCAACAGCTTTAACATCATTTCCGGGACATCAATGTCCTGCCCACATGCCGCCGGAGTTGGAGCACTTCTGAGAGGTATACATCCCGATTGGAGTCCGGCCGCCATCCGGTCATCATTGATGACCACAGCTGATTTATTGGACAACATAAATCATCCAATAACCGACATTGGATTCAATGGTGATTCCGCCACTCCTTTTGCAATGGGAGCTGGACATATTAATCCAAACAAGGCATTAGACCCTGGATTAGTATATGAAGCTGGAACAGGGGATTACATCAATCTTTTATGTGCAATGAATTTCACATCCCTACAAATTCAGTCCATTACAAGGTCATCTTCTTACAAATGCTCGAACCCATCTCTGGATTTGAACTACCCATCATTCATATTATACTTCAGAGCAAACAGCAGCCAATCAACAGTGAAACAATTCACCAGGACAGTCACCAACGTTGGCGATGGAATGGCGGTTTATTCGGCGAAATTGGCGCCAATGGATGGATTTAAAGTTAGTGTAACTCCTGACAAGCTGATTTTCAGAAAGAAGTATGAGAAACAGAGTTACAAACTGACAGTTGAAGGTCCGACAGCAGCCACGGTTGATTTGGTGGTTTATGGTTCATTGAGCTGGGAAGAGAATGGCGGTAAACATGTTGTTAGAAGTCCAATTGCAGCAACAAGCCTAACTGTACAAAAATTGTCAGCCTAATAAGACTAACTTTTGTACTACTTCTTAACCATGTGATGAACAACTGTCCAATTATTAAGGTAAATGAAAAAAAATCAATATTCATGTTGGAATTTGTCTAAAAAATGTGGATACGTACAATGAATTTGAGTGTGATATATGTTCGGTTAGAACATTTCATAGTTTTTGTACCAAAAAAAATAAAATAAAATAAAAATATCTATATGTACAATTGCCCAAAGTTTTTGGGGCACATTATTGTAAACTTTGATGATTGTTATAATGTGTGACAAAAATTCAGCAAGTTTACAGCTAATAGTCCCCAAGAGGAAGCCTTTTGCCTGTGGAAAAATAAGGCTCAAGTGGCCCTTTTGTGTGCTGTTAGAATCGACTCGTGATTTGGAAAACAACAAAAGAAACTAAGGGCAGGGAAAACATAGAACACATATTCAAAGTGAATGATTGATTGATTGTTTTGTTGCAACTTTAGAAATGTCATTTTCAAGATTACGTTGTAAGGGTTAATGCTTGCTTGCTTTGAGACAAAACTTTTGGTAATTAATTTTTGATCATTCACATCTAGCAGTAATTAAATTAAAGATGTTACATCATCAGACTATCAAAAACAAAAAAAGGTAATATGATTGGTGAATTGGGATCTTTTTTTAGTGTTTTCTCTTTATCTGATTCTCATAGATTTTTCTTTACCTTTGTTGTCTTTGAGAATGAGAGTACTGAGGTTGATTTAACATGAACGGTGGGCTATTAGGTGTCTTTTCTTTTTCTCCACTCAAATGTCTTCTTGCACGAATTATTCATCAAAATCAACTCCATTTACTCCATCAAGTGTAATAAAATATGAGTACGACTCTTCTAGTTGATCATTGTAAGAGAAAATAAATACAAGTTGTAGTGTAATATGAGTTTGTTAGAATCAAATAACAGTTTTTTTCAATTAAACAAACGTTTATGATTCATGAGTCATGGTTGTAGACAAGGTTGCAATTAAACGCTGAGTATGGAATTTTACGCACCGATTCCAGAAAGTATTGTGCACACTAATTTATGTTGGAATTGGTTAAATTTCTCTCAAGAGTTAAAACTCTCAAATTAATAACTTTGTTAATCGAGATTATATAAATATGTCAAAATTCGGACACTGATCATAGTTAAATCAATTTGTGTGACATACCATTTGGACAAAGTAGTGTTTGTTGATTAGTAGGTGTTGTGATTATAAAATTTGTCGATAAGATTTCAATGATTAATTTTCTTTTGTACAATCAATCTTAATTCAAGAATTATTATAAGAGACACAACCAATGGATAAGATGAGACCATGCAAATGGCTACATCAGATGGATTGATTGGCTTCTAAATCCCAGACTTTGTAGCTGCTTGTGGATATGTTGAGAGAAATGCCAAAATTTTGTTTCACCTATTCCGTCACTCATTTAGATTAATCTAGCTAGCCGTATCACATGTACGAAATTCAATATAAGCATGTTGCTCTCTTAAGATTCGTCATGCAACCTTCAAATGATATGACAATTATCAATTTTCACAATCATCAAGATCTTCAGTCAAAAGATATTTTAATTTTATAGATATAACGGTGATTAAAATATTTCCTGGAAAAAGTTAGCTCGAGTTTGAATTTAAATAAGTCGAGACAATGATTTCGGACACCGAATAAATATAATCGAAAAAAGGAAATATAGATATTTTAGTATCTTACATATCTTCTGTGCCTAGGAAAATTTTAGATTAGAGAACCTTTACGTATAACTTTGAACAAAAATGGAATTAAGTTAATGGCAACATGTGATTTGTTTTATGATATAGTCTACGGATGTTGCAACTAACCTTATGCATCTCTCCTCAATAATGGAAAATAAAAAAGCCCATCTCTTGAAGTTACAAATACTGATTTACCCCCATTCCAATCAGAAATTGTGGTGTGCCTATTAGGGCTGGTTTTTTTGCAATATTATATAAATCTTCTTGAAGAAATTTTAGTTGTTTTGATGTCATCTTTTGTAGTCAAAGTTCATTGGAATATATTTAGATTTTCACATCATGAGATTCTGTGAAGTCAACCTATGCATTACGTACATATAAGCAGTAACCTCCCTCCATGCACAATGCATTGAAGTTTGTGCATTACATTTGTCAACTTGTTTTACAAATAATTGACAAGCCATTTTATGGCTTTGGTGCATGGCAAAATTCGTTTGGGAGTAGTACCTTGATTTAGTCGCTGTAATTGTTAGTACTCCCGATGTCGTTTTCGTTCCCGGGGAAAAAAAAATAATTCAGTTACAGAATATTCTGGTTTTGGGGAAACCAATCCTCCGCGATCGACCAATGGGGAAAAATGATTAACAATATCAACCTTGGAAAAGAAAATGATTCCTGAAGAATAATATTCCTCTTAAAATAACAGTACTATTTGAGTATTTGTTAACGAAATCCTTAGATTGAGATAGTATTACTACTCATATGAAAATTTAATTGTGTACTTTTTGGTTTTTGACGATCTAACTGGATTGTAGAGCACACTTTGTAAATTATGCAAATTATGCCGTGATCTCTTCCTCGGCTCGCTCCGTAGGTTATCACTTGAATGCTCTCCGCAAAGTGAAATTAACCTCCACGCTATCTTCAAATGCGTCATTTAGCTCCAACGTATTTTACAAAATAAAAACCAAATAAACGACATTATGTAGGAGAAACTCAATCGAAGTATATTAATATTCTATTCACTACAAACTCAAACAATAACGTAATGAAATCATTCTTCTTTTCAAAAAAAAAATTAAAAATTGTTCGTATTGTAAATTAAAAGTTATATTGGGTTTAATACAATTCATAATTTACTACTTGGAGCTATTTTTTGGAGACAAGGAAAGAGTACATGAAGTTTACGTTTTTATATATCTCATTCGGCTCAAAATATTTTTTCGCAAACACAATGACCTAATCAAACCATAGATTAAGATTTTTAAACAAGAAATTTTTCTGGTTATAAATATTTGTTTTGCACCCTTAGAAACAGTTTTAAAGCGAATTCAAACTTAATTGAATCGCTTTACATAATTAATCCAAAGTTAAAATGGTGAGATGTGGGGCTTGGGTAGCCCCGTTGACATCCTTACAGTAAAAAAGCCTTACCTCATGTCCAAATGGTACATTAGTGAGATAGTGAATTGTTTTTCTAGACCATTGTTTCATCCATCAAAATAATTTATAATCTAATGAAAGAATTAGACGTTGAGGATGATGGTGAACACCTTCCCAAAACAAAATAAATAAATAATATGAACATCCCTTGGACTTGGAGTGATCAAAACTGTTAATCTTGGTGATGGGCAGAGTGGAAAATTGGCCTTGAATGGTCCGTAGAAAAAAAAATACCCATCAATCTCACAAATAATTCCCACGTTTTATGGTCCATCAAGAGAAACTATAGCTTGGATCATTGTAATTGGATCCCCATACCCACGCGTTAGGGTCATCAAACAAGCCAAAAAAAAATGAGTAGTTTGAGATATTTCAAAGAGAAAAAGAAAAAAGAAACGTTGTTTGGGAGGAAAGTGAAGTCGTCCAGAACTACTCCAATAATCCTCCATTCCTGGTTGTCAGTTTGGAAAAGGAGATTGATCAGCTTCTTTTTCTTTTTTCCTTATCATCAAAATCAGAACTTCGATCTTTATTTTGTCTTTGAGTTGGATTCTGAGTGGTCAACTGGATGACAACAATACCAGTCACCAGAGCTTGTGATCACATGCAAAAAATATTCTTTCGTCCCAAATGATTGTTCAATTTAAATTTTTATTCTAAATGTGTTGAGAGTAAAATTCTAAATTGGAATCTTTTCGAAACAGAAATAGTATATATATGTATTCCTTCTGGAAGATGAAGTTGCAAGCTATCAATATGTACCATAGAGATGACTGTGCCCACTTTTCAACTAAGCTATCACAATGAAGTTCCCCATTGTTTATTATTATTACACAGGAAATGGCATCACGGGCATCATTTTCTCTGCAATTCCTTTTTCTTTTTGTTTCAATTATGAGCCTTATGTCTCTTACAATATATATCCAATGCCAACGGATAATAATGACCGTATTGGGAGGACGAGAATCTATTATATAGAGTGTGAGAATCGAATGAATCGTTAGCATTGCATATTTTGTTATCAACATTTGAAAGCATGCGAGTATTCAATGTGACTATGTAGTATACTTATAATTTTTCTCTCAACATTCAATAAAAACTGTAACACAGATATACATACATAAATTAAAATTTCGAATATGATAGCCAGCGATCCAAGTGTCCAAAACCAATGGCAATTGGACAAAGTTATGAGAAACATTTTTATGACAGAATATATGGTATGTCATACATAATTTGGTTTAGGCTCGAAAATATAACTTATACGAAAAAAAAAATGAAAAAATGAAATACTGTAGGGTGAATTCAGATATCTTAAAAAAATAATCCACTTTATTCAAACAAATCTTTGATTGAACAAGATGCGCAATAGGCTTTAAGAGCTTCTTGACCCGATGGTTGTACCCCACGGTTGGGCATACATGCATACTTCTTAGCCCTAAATCCAATTGATATTCTAAAAGAAGCTAGTTAGGCCCATGACTCCTCTATTCTTCGAATACATATGAATGTGTTTGGTCATATTAGAAGCCTACTCTACACTGTAAAATCTGGTTTCAGCTATCAGTCTCTCGATACTGATAATCCTATACTACGATCCTAACTCCTAAGCATATACTCCATGGAATCAAAACACGTACAAAATCGTTCTTTGTTGTTGGGGTGTTGCATCGTTTAGTTTCGTGCAACATCATAATATCGCGTTCAAATCTTACTACAAAACGCAAACAGTGCCGCTTCATTTTTTGTTTTGTTTTCTTAAGGCCCAGTATGGCTAATGTGCTCATTTTCTTTTTGGTCTAACAGTTTGTGAGATTAAGCAGAACTTCTAGACCCCTTTCCTCTTTTGATTGTGAATCCTTTAAAGTAATATCTCTAAATTAACTAATTTTTTACTTATCTCAAAATCCCTAAAAGTCTCATTTTGTAGTTTCATTCCTTATGAATGTTGCAGCAATAATCCTGCTTCTAATATTCATCCATTTTATCCCTTTTGGCTAGGTGGATTGTGCAGGAATAATGTGTAAAATGTCGTTTTAACACTTAAAAATGTTATGTCCAGCTGATGGGCCTGGGGGGCCTTCGGCCCGGTTTTGTTGGGCCTGATTCAACCCACTTCGGCTCACTCAAGTGTTACCCCTCCCTAATGTGGTTCCCCGATTTGTACAGTACCATTTGAGGACTCTAAATATGTCCTCAACCTTATTTATGAAGAGAGATAATTCACTAATCACAACACTTTTTTTCCTCTGCAAGTG